TGATGGGGTGATGGGGTGATGGGGTTTTGGGGTTTTGGGCGAGTAGAGGGAACAACATACGCGGTGATGCTCCTTGCGGTCGTGGTCGGCCATCTCCTTGCCCTGGGCGCCCATGTGCTTCTCAAAGGCAGGGTAGACGACGAGCTCTTCGCCGACGGAGTGGCGGGCGAGCTCCCAGGTGAACTGGTTGCCGAAGCGCTGCTGGTGGTCATGGTTGTTGCTGTTGATGACCTCGTTGTAGTATTGTTCGAGCTCGCGGTGGTCCTTGATGATGGCGTCTGAGATGGAAGTCGTCTTGGCGGCGGTTGAGCTGAAGGCGCGCTTGTCGAAGCGGAGTGCGTTGAGGTTCTGGGGTCTGGAGGCTAGCCTGCGTTGGCTGATGGCGATGGTTCGGAGAGAAAACATTGGGAATGGGATTGGAGGTGGTGGGCTTGTCAATGTTAGGAGGAGACTATAAGTGGTTTGTAGAGGACGTTTGAGGAAGGCACGATATTCAGCCGGTGATGAAATATGTTGGTTGATAGGTGCAAACAACAGGATTGTCTCGGAAAGAAAGAGGGAGATGGAGAGCCGGAAAGAGGTTTAACTGGCTTCCACAACCCTCTGCGAGGAAGGAAGGATCCAAAGAGCTCCTTCATGACCTTCATGACCTTCATGACGTTTATTATCCCGAAGGACGACGTCATATTCTTCCAGTTGACTTCACGTTCGTCGTTTCGGGTTTCGGGCAACGGCAAAGGGGTAACAGCAAACACCCAAGGAGCTTTCTCTCCGTTCGATAGCAGATAGCTAATAGGTGCAAGAGGATTTGCTCTTCAAGTCATCCTTGCATCAAGCTCCCCCTGTCAACTGCATTGCATTGTAAGGTAAGGTACAACGTAGGTAAGTGCCCACCCCGCCTTCTGGAACACCCCCCCATTTCGGACACCACTTTACACCAAAACACTGCTTTTTAGACCCCTGCTATTTTATTCAATAAAATAGTAAATATTATAAAAATAAAACCCTATATAAGTTAAAAGGTAGGTACTGTTTATAGCGCTTGTCTTAAACTGATTGGCGCCGATTGTGGGTGGGTCGGTGAGGGCATCAATCCGTCATCATTCTGCTTTAGTACCCAAATACACCGAAGAAAGTAAAGGGGGAAAGGGAGAGAGGGAGAGAGGGAGAGACCTTTCCGTATAACAACCATGCAACGTTCTAGACCTTCAGCAACACCAAAGTTACCATACACGTACACTAGCACATGACCTTGGCATGAGCATCTCTGCCGTCATGACTACTCTCAAGCTGCTCCGGCGTCCGATCATCCCCTTGGGAATTAATTCCCTATATACGCCTGGAACCCGTGCAGTAGCCGGTCCAGTCCTTCAGTAACCCCCGTTAATACCAGTTCCTCACTGTGTTCCCTCCAGACTTTCCACTCGAGCTGAAGCGACTTGCCAGAAAACCGCCTTCACCTAGGGCATGTTTCGGAACCCGACGATTGACAATATGAGCGCAAACACGAATCAGGTCGACCCGATGCAGCACCCGCTCCGGGCCACCGCCACGGCCATCGGCGCCGGTCTTCAGGGGGAAAGTCGGGGTCCCCGTGTAAGCCACATGCAGAGCGCCAACGAAGGGCCAGCGGACATTATCGGCAAGGTCTCGGGCGCCGTGCCGGGCGGGAAGCGGGCGGACGATGGTCCTTACTTTACCAACAACGAGGGCCACCCTTTTCCGGACCCGTGAGTTTGGTTCCTTTTTTTTTTTTTTTTTTTTTTTTCATATATCTTGTCAGAGCAAGGCTAACCGATGAAATAGAGCTCACAGCAAGACCGTCGGTGGTCTTCCGCTCGCGAGTGATGTATTCCTCTTCCAGTGAGTACAACCCCTATTAGTGCACCACAATCTTTTTCATCAAAAGCGGGATGTTGACTCGAGAACAGGAAGCAACAAACCTTCAATCGATCCAAGGCTCTTGAGCGCAAGTCAGCTCTTTTATGGTCCGGCGTAGATTTCAGAAGGAAATAAATTCTGACCTTACTACCAGGAATGGTCCATCCCTGCGGATCTGGAGCATTTGGCTACTTCGAATGCACCAAGAACGTCACTGAGCTCACGGTATGAGATGAGACCCACGGGGAGATCATGTAAACCATACCCGTCTTCAGAGAGATCCTTCAACTGACACCTTTTGAATAGAAAGCCAACTTTTTGTCCAAGGTCGGTGAGAAGACACCTGCCTTTGTGCGTTTCTCGACCGTGACGCTCGGTCGAGAATTCCCCGACCAGGCCCGGAATCCCCGTGGCTTCGCTATCAAGTTGTACACCATGGAGGGTAACTACGACATTGTTGGCCTCAACTTTGTACGTCTCCTGCCGTACTTCTCTCTTGTCGCTTTCCCTACCTTACTGACAGTGAAAAAGCCCGTCTTCTTCTGCCGAGACCCCATCCAGGGCCCGGACGTCATCCGCTCGCAGTACCGCAACCCTACCAACTTCCTCCTCGACAATGACGCGCTGTTTGACCTGCTCGCCAACACGCCAGAGGCCAACCACGCCGGCCTCATGTTCTTCAGCGACCACGGCACGCCGCAGGGGTGGCGCTTCAACCACGGCTACGGCTGCCATACCTTCAAGTGGGTCAACCAGCAGGGCCAGTTCGTCTACATCAAGTACCACTTCATCGCCAAGCACGGCCAGAAGCAGTTCACCGACCCGGAAGCCGTAAAGATGTGCGGCGAGGACCCGGACTACTCCAAGCGCGACCTCTGGCAAGCCATCGAGCGCGGGGAACAGCCGGAGTGGACCACCTACGTGCAGGTCATGCAGCCGAACGAGGCCGACCCGGACGTCCTGGGTTTCGACCCCTTCGACGTGACCAAGGTGTGGCCGCGCGACCGCTTCCCCATGCACGAGTTTGGCCGTCTCGTGCTCAACAAGAACCCGGAGGACTTCCACCGCGACGTCGAGCAGGCCGCCTTCTCGCCCGGCAGCATGGTCCCCGGCATCGAGGACTCGCCCGACCCGCTGCTCCAGTTCCGCATGTTCTTCTACCGCGACGCCCAGTACCACCGCATCGGCGTCAACCTGCACCAGGTGCCGGTCAACTGCCCCTTCATGGCGCAGTCCTACGCCTCGCTCAACTTCGACGGGACCCTGCGCACCGACGCCAACCACGCCGGCAACAAGCAGTATGCCCCCAACAGCTTTGCCAACAAGTTCCGCCCGGACGCCGCCGAGGCGCCCTACGCCGTCGGCGACAACATCGTCAGCCGCCGGAGCCACTACTGGCACGAGGGCAAGAGGAACGACTACGACCAGGCCAGGGAGCTGTGGACCCGGGTCATGAAGCCGCAGGAGAAGAAGAACACCTTCTACAACACCGCCAAGCTGCTGAAAAACGTCCACTATCCCGAGATTCAGGTCAAGTACCTCGCCCAGCTGCACAACATTGCGCCCGAGTATGCCCAGGGCGTCTACGAGCTCCTTCGGGAGCCCAAGTTCGGCCTGGATGAGGTCAAGGAGAAGGCCGAGACGGCGCATCTCTGGTACAAGGAGAAGAAGTTCCGGCCTAGTGGGGGGGCTAAGCTGGTTGGCCAGGTTCCGTCGCTTTCCGTGTATAACTGACGAATTCGTGTAATGTCTATGGGATCGTGTACGGGATAAGGAGAACCGGAAAATGAATTCAACGAAGTTCCAACGCGCTAGACGTCATTGGATGTAAGCGCAAGAAAAGCGTAGCCTACCCTAACCTTGGTGTAACAGCAAAGGACACGATGCTGCGTCTATGATGCGTCGTCGGCCAATGATGGCAACCGTTTCTCCGTCATGCACTCGGACTCTTTTCCTTTTCTGTCATAATGTCGTACTCTGACTCTCTCGACCATCATCTATGCAACCTCATCTTGCTACTCGGTACAGAAGTGCAGACTGCATCGAATACCGTAGCACCCTCTTCTTCCCTGGCACCTGTTATCCCGCGTTCTTCTCCGTCCGTTTCCTCCGTGTTTCCTCTCTTGCTCTTGCATCCCGGAGAGCCGGAAGACTTCTCTACTGGAGAGAAACCGGTTCGTTTCACATCAAAGCGTGCGACTAGCTGACAATCAGCCTTACGCCACCCGAGTGGAACAAAGAGAAGGAACAATGGCAACCCGAAGAGCCGTTCCAGGGGGGCCTCCGTCCCGGCTCCCCCTGAGCTCCGTCCTCTTCATCGGATGCGGATCCGGCCTGGTGGGAGTGACAATGTATGCATGGAACCTCATCACCCCCTTGCTTTTTTCTTTTCTTTTTCTTTTCCTTTTTTTCCCTTTTTTTCTTCTTTTTGTATTTCTTCCTTCTCCGCCTTCTCACATCTGGCCAGGATGACACTAGCCGAGAAAGCAGAGCAGCTCATCACAGGACGCCCCAACTCCCTCGTGCCCGGCCGCACCCTCGAGCGCCTGCTAGCCGTCCAGGCCGGGACGTCGACCCAGCTGTTCCTGCTCAACATGGCTATGCACTACGGCCAGGGAGCCGCGGCCGGCGGGATCAGGGCCGTCATGAGCTGGAACGGCATCCGCGGTCCCTTTGCCGACTTCATCTTCATCGGCGTTCGTCTCTTGATCGACCAGACGTTGGAGAATGGGACGGGCGTCGGTGCATTGCCTTGGTCGGTTGTCCTCGTCCTCGTCCTCGGTTGTCCCCCGGGCCTCCCTTCGTCTCTTTGCTGACGTTTCCTTGCAGGACCTGGCCGGTCGGAGAACAAACCATTGACATTCTCCACAAGACCGTGTTTGCCGTCACAACGGGATATTTCGTGGACAGATGGGTCCGGTGATTCATTAGCAGCAGACAAACCAAGAGACAGACGACTGGTCGATTTACCTATTTGAACATAGACTGGCAATGAAACTGCTAGGATGTTGTATTAGGATGTCTGCTACGGTGTCTTCCTTTTTGATGTATACCAAGTGCCTCACGACAGAAGTCGCCTCAACTAGGTGCTGGGACCGGTCCCATCGAGTTGAACATGGCGTACATTGTCGCTCCATCTCAACCTCTTTTTGATTTCTTGTCTTTGATTTTACAAACATTCCTCCAGTCTACGCTACCTCCCGGTAGCTTGATGTCTTGATCATGCACTAAGCGTATAATATTACCACTCGCTCACCTCGCCAGACTTGGGTTGCTGCATCCGCACCACCTTGTCACAGTTTAGGAGACAGAGCGGATCGAACGCCTTCTTAATCTGTAGTATTTGTCAGTTTGCGTCTCTTCATGTCATAATAGCTTCGATGGTTTATCCAGAAGCCCGGCCGGAGGATAGAAGAGGGACTGCTTTACCTGTCTCATGGCATCGACCGTAGTCTCTCCAAGTTCATGCGGGAGGTAGTCGCGCTTGACCAGCCCAACGCCATGTTCACCCTGCTTCCCATGTTAGTGTGCACATACAGAGATAATGGCAGCGATATGTGAAAGAGAAAGAAGGGCCGGGGGGGGGGAAGGAGGCCATAGACATACCGTGACAGTGCCCTCCAGCTCCACCGCGCGCTTGACCATATCATGCACCAATTTCTCCGCCCGTTTCCGCTCCTGGTCGTTGTACAGGAGAATAACTGCATTTTTCTTGTCAGAATTCCATCCCGTCAAAGCCTACTGGCCAAAAAAAAGAAAAAAAAAAAGGGGCAGGGGAGCAACCAAACGTACGGTGAAAGTTTCCGTCACCAACATGTCCCACAATGGTCCCGAAGAGACCGCTCCTGCTCATGGCCTGCTTCGTCTCCTCCACAATATCCGGCAACCGGCTCATGGGCACGGCGACATCGCCCGTCCACACATGGTCGCCCGGCCGGCCCACAGCCATGGTGCTCCACAGCGCCTCCTTGCGCGCGCTCCACAGCTCGTGCTGCTCGTCCTCACTGCGCGCAAACTCGAACGACTCGCCCCCCGCCTTGGCGGCCAGGTCCTTGACCATCTGCACCTGCTCCTTGACGCCGCGCTCGGTGCCGGCGAACTTGAAGAACAGCGTCGGCGCCTCCCTCCACTCCCGCGACGTCTGGCCCGCCTCGTTGATGCACCGCATCTGCGCGTCGTCCAGGATCTCCACCGCCGCCACGGGGATCCCCGCCCCGACCACGCGCGCCACGCAGCTGGCCGCGTGCCGGATCGACGGGAACGCCGCCACCGCCACCGACGTCGACGCCGGCCGGACCGCCACCTTGAGCGTCGCCTCCGTGACGAGGCCCAGCGTGCCCTCCGACCCGATGAAGAGCCGCGTGAGGTCGTACCCGGCCGAGCTCTTGCGGGGGCGCTGCCGCGTCCTGAGCACGGTGCCGTCGGCGAGCACCACGGTCAGCGAGAGCACCCACTCGCGCATGGTGCCGTAGCGGTAGGCGTTGGTGCCGCTGCACCCCGTGCCCACCATGCCGCCGATCATGGCGCCGGGGCCCGGGTCGGGCGGGAAGAAGAGGTTCGAGCCCGCGAGCTGGTCGTTCAGCGACTCCCACCCCACCGCCGGCTGGACCACCACGTCGAGGTCGTCCTTGTGCAGGGCCAGGACCTTGTTCATCCGGCCAAAGTCGATGCAGACGCCGCCCCGCGTCGGGGTGAAGTGGCCCTCCAGGCTGGTGCCGCCGCTGAAGCCGACCACGGGGATCCGGCGCTGGTGGCAGACCTTCATGATCTCGGACACCTCCTCGGTCGTGCTGGGGAAGAGGACGCAGAAGGGGCGTTCCGACGGTTGGGCCTGGTGGGAGGACCAGTCCGAGGTGGCGTGGTGGTCGAGGTCCGTGGGCGCCGTGCTCACGTGTTCCTTGCCGAGGATGTGGACAAGGTCGGCCCAGGCGGCCTGCATGTTCTCCAGGTTGGTCTTGTGTTCGGGTGCGATGGTCTTGGACAAGGGGAGCGTCGAATCTTGGTTCGGTTTCGGGGGGTACAGTGTGCCAAGGTAGTAAGACACGCCCATGGTGAATAGGAGGGCTAAACGGCGGCAAAGGAGCGTTAATAGGAGGGGAAAAGGGGAGAGACCCGGGAGAGTGAAATCAAATGGATAGGCGAGCAAAAAGAGAGGCACAGGCACTTACCAAATGTCATGGCATAGCTGCGACCCGTCGCCGTCTTCTCACGTTCCCGAGCGAACCTCTCCCGCTCAGCATTCTCGCGGGCCAAACGCTGAGTGATACTGCCGTATACCTGACTCTGGAAGGTTCGGCCCGATTTGTTGTCCTTGGAGGACCGCGGTTCCGGGTTCTTCTCGGAAGACATGCATCGAAGAGTCGTGGCGGCGCATGGCGAGCGAGGAACGGCGAGGGACGGAGCAGCGCGGAAGCCGGTTAGTGCTGTCCGTGGTGCTCCCGCCGGGAACCGTGCCATGATGGGTGAACGAGCAAGGAAAACAGAAAAACAAAAGGTCGAGGAGACTAGAGGACGAAAGGACGTTTCTCGATGGCAGAGTTGGGAGGTCTAGCGGGTTTCTATGAGCGGAGGAAAGAGGGATGATTCTGTCAAGTGCCGCGAGGTTGATCATGCCATTGGGGATGAAGCCTGGGTCTGTAGCAGAGAGACTGGACGGGGCAGAGACAATGGTTCGCTTTATGACGGCTGTCCGAGGGGTTCCCGTCGTACGAGGGATCAGCATCTACAGTATATTCGTAGATAAGAAGTGCGCCGGGAGGAGAACATTGAATGCACTTACGTAAGGCACATCAGGTACGTTGTACGTACCGATTCCCGTACCCCAACAGTGGCTTGGTCAGCAGATCTGTGGCTGGGGAATCAAGAACTGTGGCTGAGTTGTCAAGTCTCTTCCAGGTCGAGAACCCCCTTTTATGTCGTCCCCATCTCAACGACAGAGTGAGTGCAGACGTTCATTCAGTCAGAGGCAGGGCATCAATTCCTCTCTCGAACATCACAATGAACTAATTCATTACGACTCTTGAAAATACATTGGCCCGGCCTGTCCAACGCCTCAATCTCCATCTCGGTCACTTCGCCGGCTCCCACCCCTGAACAAGCTGCACGGAGAGAGTAGGCGTCGCCCCGTTGAGGTGCGCAAGGTACGCCTCGAGCTCCATATCGCCCTCAATCAACAACGGCATCTCGCCCCCTCTGCCATCCTTCAATATGCCCTCGACCCGCAGGCATGCGGCGCCAGGGTACCTCTCCACGGCGGCGCGCCGCACCTCTCGTACGGAGCGCGTCTCCATGGTCCCTATCCAGACGCGGGCGTCGGTAGAAAAAGTGGAAGACTCGTGCAGTCGCAGGAAGATGGCCATGCTGCTCGAAGGGGGTCCCGGTGCTGGTGCTGGTACTGGTGCTGGTGCTGTTGCTGTTGCTCGTTGCACTTGTGGCTGCTGCGCGGCCGGGGCGAACCGTAGACGAGGATCCAGCACCGTTTCCTCCCCGCTCCGTAAGGACGACGTGGTCGCACCCACTCGCGAGGCGGTAGGCGTGGCCGTTGTTTGGGTCGGCAGCGTGCTGCCAAAAGAAGTCAAAGTCGAAGCCACTCGGCCGATACCACCACCGAAACCACCCGTGCTGCTACTGCTGCTGCTGCTGCTGCCACCACCCAGGTCCTGACTGGCAACCTCGCCGGGGCTGGGGATGACCTCAAAGCCCGCTTGGGCATGCGCAACAACCGCCCCAGGACCCTGGGCCACCGCCGCCGCCGCCGCAGCCACAGACTCATCCGGCGACTGCGCAGCACCAGCCGAGGCGCTACTCCGAGCGGCGGCCTTCTTCCTCGCCCGGCTCTCGTCATGCCACCGCCTCCGCATGACGTCCTGCGCAAGCCGCTCCAGCGCCTTCAGCTTGTCCTCGTGCGCCGGATCCGAAGGCCCCCCCGCCAGGGCGCGCTGGAGGTAAGGGCTGACGGCGACCCACTCGTTCTTGACCTCGTTCCACTTCTTGATGCCGGCGTCGGTCTTGCTGCGGATCTGGTGCCGCTCGGTGAGGACGTAAAAGACGACGCGCGCCTGCCTCGTCTCGTACGGGTCGAGGCCCAGCACGGCTTTCGCCCTGCCGAGGTCGAATTGGTTCCCCTTGTCGCGCATGCGCTTGGTGCAGTCGCAGCAGATGACGTCGAGGGCCAGTTTCTTCCGGTCTAGGTTGTCCCGGCTCTGCCACAGCTCGGCCTCGAGCGGCGGGAAGCGCCGGATCAGGTCGTCTTTGAGGGCTTCCCACCGCTCCGGGCCCGCGAGCGTTTTCTTGATCACATGGGCCTCTTCGCAGAGCTGGGTGAAGATGACCCGCATGGCCTTGTAGGCTTGGTTGTCCAGGCCGAGGATCGCTTTGGCTTCGTCCAGGGTCAGCTCGGACGGGAACCGGGGAGGGGCGGCGACGTCGCGAGGCCTCACGCCGTGCTTCCTCGTCAGCCGGCGGGGTTTGTTGTGGCCTTTACCGACGGGGGGAGGGGAGTCGACCTGGTCTGTCGGAAAGACTTCGGGGGGAGGGGCTCCTATGAGTGACAAGGGTATCAGCGGAGGTAGCAACGGAGCTGGTGCGGGTGCCGATGCGTGTGCGTGTTGGTGTTGTTGGTGTTGGTGTTGGTTTTGGGCTGTGGGCGGTTGGTGGTGATTCGAAGTATGCACATCGCTCGCCTCTGAATCTGATCCAGAAGCCTCGTCCTCGTCCTCGTCCTCCCCGGATGAGATTTCAATGACCTCGTCTTCGGCGGCCCGGTCCCCTTCCGGAGAGCGAAAGAGCATTTTGTGCTTCTTTCGGGCTTGGACCAAAGCCCTCTTGGTGATGTTGTAGCCATCCTCTTCGTTGAGGATGCGATGGAGCTCCGCTTGGCCGACATTCCGCATCCATAGCTCTCTGATCCTGGCAAGGACGACATCATCGATGGGGGTGGCCGATTCCTTTCTTGTCGGGAATCCCCATTTGCGGAACAGAATCCACAAGGCTCGTTTTCTGCCGGGGACGGATGGTTCATTTAGTTGAAGAGCTTAGAGTGTGTGGCAAAAGAGCCCCCAAGACAAGAGAGGAGACGTGATTAAGGCATATAGCAACGACAATAAGGTAGCTGCAAGGAATACGGCTGTCCGAAGACCCCAGACCGTCGAAAATAAATACGTACTGTGGTGGTGCCGTCAGGCCATGCTCGGCTTGCATGGCGGCGATGACTTGGCTCATTCGCTTCCTTTCATCGACATAGAGTCGACGCAAGGTCTCCTTGTGCTCCATCCATTCTTTGACCGTTGAGGGTCTACCTCCCGTCCTCGGCATGGTGATTCAGCCGATTTGATTGATATTAGGGATGATTGGGAGGTGTGAGTTGGGTCGTGGAGATGGATTTTGCGCGGTGGAAGTTGTTGACTACCGGAGGAGTGGGAGTATGGGAGCCATACCGCTTACGTACGCAACCGTACGGTAGTAACACAGTAATAACACTGGTCATACACTCCGTGATATCAGGAGGCATGTACAAGGTACCTAGGTACTTCACACGCATTGACCAGATGACTTCGGTCTTGAACCCCCCACATGCCTCGGCATCGGTTCAACACGGGATTTGGGGACACCGGGGTACGGAGTACATCAAGGCGTCCTACTCCGTACGTACACCGATACTTGACATGAATGATCGCGTCTCACCAATATCCATCAGTATCCCAACTGTACGTGTTTGCATTGTCTAGAAATTTAGTTGAAAGAAACTAAAGTGCCATCTCAACCGGACCGTATTCCTGCGCAATCCTATTTAGACCCTCCCACCATGGCGTCGACCACGCCCCTCCCCGAGAGCTACAACACGTACCAACTCCCCGAGATCAAGCTCTCGCACCACCCGGCCTCATCACCCCACGTAACGCCCGTCATCCTGGTCATCCTCAACCGGCCCGAAGCCCGCAACGCCTTCACCGAACCCATGACCGACTCCCTCGAGACGGCCTTCACCGTGCTGGGCGCCGACCCGCGCGTCAAGGCCATCGTGCTCACGGGCTGCGACCCGACCAACCGCACCTTCTGCGTCGGCATGGACCTGGCCCTAGCGTCGACGGGGCGCAGCTACCACTTCGACAAGCCCTTGCGGCGCGAGGCCTACCGCGACGGCGGCGGGCGCGTGTCGCTGGCGATCCACCGGTGCCCGAAGCCCGTGGTGGCGGCCATCAACGGCAGCGCCGTCGGGGTGGGCATCACGATGACCCTGCCGGCGACGATCCGCGTGGCGTCAAACCGCGCCAAGATCGGCTTTGTGTTTGGCCGGCGCGGGCTCAACATGGAGGCCTGCAGCAGCTTCTTCCTGCCGCGGCTCATCGGCACCAGCCGCGCCATGCGGCTCGTCGCCACGGGGGAAGTGTTCCCCGCCACGAGGGAAGACGTGTTCGGTGGCTTGTTCGCCGAGGTGGTCGACCCGGACCAGGTCGTGCCGCGGGCGCTGGCCATCGCCGAGGACGTGGCGGCGAATGTCAGCGGCGTGGCCTTTCAGCTCAGCAAGGAGCTCATGTACCGCGGGCCCGGGTCGCCTGAGGAGGCGCACTTGCTCGAGAGCGCCGTCTTCTTCGACATGATCAGGGGGGCCGATAGCAAGGAGGGCATTCGGAGCTTTAGGGAGAAGAGGGCGCCTGACTTTCGGGCGAGCCTTGAGAAGGACCCTCCGGCAGCATACCCTTGGTGGGAGGAGAAGGACGCCGAGGCGAAGATGTGAGTGGGTGATGAATTACGAGCTTAGCAGGTTGCCCTACGGGCAACGCCGCTAAGCTCGCCCCCCCCCCCCCCCCAAGGGGGGGGGGGGGGGGGGGGGGGGGGGGGGGAGGGCTAGTTATATAACCTACTCTATATAACTAAATAACCGTAGATATCCGAAAATAGCCGTAAAACGCCTGCTTTTTTGTTTTCCATAGCTGTTTATTTGTTCCTTCGAAGCTATAACGACGTTTTTATATTGATTTTCGGTATTTCGATAAAGCCGTTTTTATTTTTATTTTCTAATAATTAAGCTTTATCCCTTATAGATAGTAAAGATTACTATTAAGTAACCCTTATTTTCTCCTTACGGCCGCTAGTAGTAGTTTTTTTATTACTCTATTTCCCTTACTCTATTCCTTAGCTATAAAGAGTATCTGTTAAGAAGGAGATATAGGTCTACCCCGAAGAGATAAGGACTAGAGGGTGATAGGGAGTGACAGATAAGGATCGTAGTCTTATATAAGGGGAGGCCAATTATAGGTTAACTGGTAGTTAATAGGAAGAGTATCTTAAAGGTAGGTGGTAGTATAGAGGAGAGATAATCGCTAACCCCTTCCTTCTAGAATAGTCCAGCTCCCCGTCTTATATAATGAATATCCACTTATTAGTTAGCCGGTAGTCCACTACGTAGTCCACTACTATATCCTAGTACCTCCTAAGTCTTCTTTATATCCTACACCTAATAGGCTACCCCTTCCTAGAATAAGGCCTATCCTTAGGCTATAGCTAGTTACGGAGTATCTGTAGGGTGAGTAGTGATTATCGGGTAAGGCGAGTAGGTTAATAGTACTATCGGTGATATATAGGTCGGAGCTTAAAGAAAATAAAGCCGTAGGTAATCCACCGTTAAGTGACGGTGGAGCTAAAGGCTTAAAATATATCCTAACCTTAAATAGTGGCATGAGAGGATATTTTTAGGGGAAGAGGATAAAGAGAAAATTCCTTATGAAGTATACTATTTTAGGTATATATAAGGGTATAGAAAGAACTACTATAGGTAGCCAACCGTTGATTAGACGGTGGTTCACAGAGGTTTATTATAAAGAATAAGTCTGTAAGAGATATATCCTTATATAATAATAGGTATAAAATAAAAGTTTAAAGCAGCTGTTTATCCACTATTAGATAGCAGCAGTGTTATTAAACACCCAATATCTCCCCGTTTATTAAACGCGTTCGTATTATTTATTCCGTAAATAGGAAAGTGCGTTACCGGTAATAAAGGCGTGTCTGCCCCTTTATACGTGAATAGTAAAATAGCAGGCACGATAAGTGGGGCCTCACTATTATATAGAGGATCTTTTCGGCTATAGGCTTCTTTTCCTTTCCTTCTTCTTTTTCCCCTCTTTAGGCTCCTTAAAGAGGTTATAAGTATCCCCCCCCCCTATTTATAAGAGTCTATAGGCAGCGTTATATAGCCGGGGCTAGGGCAGAAGATGTAGCGGGTTAGTAGAGGGCTAACTAGTAGCTGACGTGTATATAGTTTTTCTTTTAGTATATATAAGTCTATTTTTCGTTACGAGTTTCCTATCGGTATATATAATTTAGAATCTAACTTCGAAGGAGAGTAATAGCTAGATAGCGGTTGGATAGAATTAATATAAAATAGATTAATAGAGAAAGGTTGCAGTTAGGTAAATATTTGCCGAGCTCTATAAGTGCCTCTAGATTTATAGTGGTCTAGATTTATAGTAGGAATATAGGTAATAGCTAATTAGCTATAGGATAACTATACCTCCTAAGGGAAGTTATAGTGGTGGTGTGGTAAAAACTCCTAAAAAGCCTCGTCTAAAGAAAAATAGAACCGTAGGTATTCAGCTAAAGACTAGAGGGGAGGTATCTAGTACCTAGGGTATAGATATAGAGAATAATAATACGTCGGCGCCCCTAAGTCTAATTAGTGGAGAGATAGCCGGTAATTAGTAGCAGACTAGTAATAAAGTTAGTAATAGAAATAAGAATAGTGCCGGTAATTCGAATAATAGTTCTATAGCTAGAAATAATAGGATGGTCGAGTTAGGTAATAGTGGACTAGCTAGTATATCCCGGGCGTACACTTTATATCCGCCCGTAGAATAGGGATATAATCCGTTTCTAGTTCCGTGCGTGCGGTGTATTGGTTGGATAATAAAGTGGCACCCTAGTAGTGGTTAGATTCCTTTGTGCAGTTATAGAGATTATAAGTAAAGTGGTCGGATAGGGGGTAATAAGTGATTAGCTGCTAACTTAGTATAATAGCGGCCTCGCTTAAATATATATATTATATAGGATAGGGATTAAAGCCCTATGTGAAAGTATATCAGCTAGTCTATAGCTAATTAACTAGCGCTAAACTTACTCTTAGCGCTTAATATGCCTGACCGGCAAATCCCTGGCCAGCCAGTACTATAGGACCTATAAGCCAGGCTTTTCTCGAGGGGTGACCTTTAGGTACAGAAAATACGGTGTAATAAAGATATCTTCTCTAAACTAAGGGGGCGCGCCCCTAGGACTTAAGTATTCCACGGGTAAACCCCGTAGAATCCTCGGATTCTATATATAGGAACCCGGGTATAACCCAGGGAAGCTATAGTATACACTAAAGGTACTTATGGTGTACCCCGTGTATACTATGGCTTATACTATAGTACGCCCGTGGTACGCCTATGGTACGCCCTGGCGTTCCCGGTAGAATCTAGGGCGTATTAAATGCCCCGGGCGATAAAGCCCTACGTCCCGCGGGCTTTCCCCGGCAACTACGATAGCCTTACTTAAGGCGCGTGGCGGTTATACTAGTAAACCGTGGTGTAGTTAGGAGATAACAGAAAGGAAAGTGAAAAGTGGTTACCGGTAGCGCCCTAATAGCGGCCGCCGGTATTACTACCGTATAAAACACCGTAGGGCCCTAGTTATAATAGGCGGACGCTACGGGAAAGGAATAGGATACGCCGGGAATATCCCGGCTAGGAATTAAAAAACCAAAGAAATAAATATACGAAACCTTCCCCCTGGATTCACCGCGTACTACGGTAAAACCTATATTTCGCCTATACCTATATTACCCATGTATATAATCACTCTAGGACGGTAACCTCGTAGTCGTCGTCATCCTCGATAGCGGGCGTAACTTAGTCCGGGAAGCCCTAGTGGTTAAGGTCGGCCTTAAAGATAGTAGCCGCGTCCTCTATAGTTACGTCGTTCGTTAATTCCTCGATATAGCCAGCGTTGAGCTCGGCGAATACTAGCGGTCTCTTTATACTACGGTCGTCGTACTAACGTTAGATAGCGGCGCACGTAAGAACTATATGGATAGAGAGTGCTTAGTTAGCAATAACGCGTTAGATAAGCTAATCCCTATATACAGACAATAGCTCTAAGTTAACTCCTAGGGGAGCCAGGTATACTATCTTACCTAGACGTAGGTACCGGATAACCTAGGTAAATTCTATAGCATTCCACGTAGCGTTTGAGGCGATAATATCGTTAATAAAACCGTATAGCTATCTAGCTACCGGAACGGGGAGCACGGTGCCGTGGTTACGCCACTATATAATAGTTAGGGTCTATTTGCTTATACTCGTCGAGTAGTATATAGCTTTCTCCTTCTCGTTACGAAGCTTAGCGCCGTATATCTTAACCACGTCTATAAGCATCTTCTCCCGCGAGCTCTCGACTACTATACGCTTCGCGGGTATAGGGTTAATGCCGGTAAGCTCGGTAACGGGTCTCTTAGTTATCTTAGCCGGAGTAGTAAGGCTCGGCGCTTCGCCTAAGCGAACCTAGCCTAGGAACTTGGTAACCGATAGGATATTAACCGCTTACCCTTCTACTTAGTAGATGCTCGAGGTTATACCTTCGAGAAAGTCGCGGGCTAGCTCGTTACGCCTCGCGGCTTCCTTAGCGTATTCCTTAGACTTACGTTTAAACTCGTCTTCGGAGATAGTCTTACCTCGAATAGTAACGAGGTTATATATAGCCTAGGAGAGAAACATCTACTCGAGCCAGTAATTCACTATATATCGGGGAATAGTCACTATTCTATAGGCGCTACTACTAGTTAGGGCCACGGTAGTTCTCTAGGAGAGACTATCCTTAGCGTCTATTACTACGTTAATATATACCGTCGACCAAGGTCCCGAGGTAATATCTAAGGAGTCCGCGCTTAACGTCTAGGGCCTCTACGGCGTCTTAGTAAACCTTCCGGCGTAATTACGCTCGCGGGTTATAATAAACGTCTTAAACGGCTCTTCCGGCTATTCCTAGCCTATAAGGTCTTTATTAGCTTCTACCAGGTAGTCCGGCTAGGGGAATCGGCGGACGATAGCGCGTGCCTCGGAGAGGGAGACGACTTAGTAAACCTTAGGATACTCGGGGGGGACGAAGACCGTGTAGTCGAGATCCCGTGTCTTTAGGTTAGTATAGCCGCGTTCCTCGGTATACTAGCGGAACGCCTCGATCTTCGCTTAATAACCCTACTTCCATAGCTTAAAACGGATACCGAGGGTAGATAGTTTGGTTTCTAGGCGTTCTTTACCTCCGTATAACGTAATAGCACGAAAGTAGCCTTCCTTCTAAAAACCTAGACCGATCTTCTTACTACTCTTAAAGAACTTCTCGAATAGCTTTTTATAGTCGTCGTCCTTAGACGGCTACTAATGGCTAGGGAACTTAACTGCGAAATAGGATATATCGGCCGCGCTTAAAGATAGTTACGGCGGTATAGGGAAGTGCGGTGCCCGCCGTACGGTCCCGCGGCTCCGGAGAAAAGAAAAAGGGAGTAGAAGAAGTGTATACGTTATAAACGACGATTATATATGAGGAAATAGTAGGACGATTATAAACGATTTAGGAGCTAATAGTAAACCACGTTAGCGATATAAATTAATCGCGGTAGTAGTGAATAGAAAAGGAAGGGGAATAAAAGCAGAATGCTATAGGAGCGATATTAATTTTTCTAACGCCTCATGGAGCGCCGTGGTAACCGTGGTCGTTACGGCGG